GGAACCGATTATCGAGGTTGGATAGATGTTAAGTTGTTGACAGAGAAATAAGTCAAATTTGCATACATTACACCAACTATTACCTCAACAGTTGACACATGTCAAGACTGATCTAAGCGTTCATCCATAAGTTACCACGTCAAACACATTGGTGGGGGATTCTAGCATTGTGTTCTCTGCTACACTACTATACATAGGGATCTCATCCCATTAGCTTTAAGATCCGCATCTTTACTTTAATTTTCTTATATTATACTAGACCAAATATAGACTTCTAAGCTCAAACTTTATACTCTAATAAATTTGTACTTGGAACTCATTCATCTTAATAAAACATATTGCATTGTTTAATTTTATACAATATAAACTTGACTCTTTGTATATTCTACATAGTACACAGATATCCAATCTAATTAATTACACATTTACACTATCAATATGTGTTCAAATTCCTTCAAATTGTATTTTGGAAATTTTTGAAGAAAAAAAATTAATCTAATTAAAAAGATTTTCTATGTTCGCTTTACTAACTGTAAAATAAAGCTTACTAAATTTTTTTGATAATAATCCAGTGGATGCCCATTTATTTGGTACATGGGATAGAAGTCAACTTAAATTTGTTTAATTAGAAGGGATGTAGACATTTATAACTTTACCATAGTTGCCAATAACGTACAACTTCGTAACGTACTATACGGTGGGCTTCATTGCAATATAGGGAAAATAAACTTTATTTTCTCATTGCAATTTACTTCTCCAGTGAGAAGGCAACCTAGATAGTCGCCTTCTCTATCTGAGATGGCAATTCATCGGCCAACTGTTTTACCTGATCACTTTATTGTCGAAAATGTTAAGGAGTTGGTCAGAATGTTGACCAGAACCCTAGTGACGTGTGATAGCAGAGCAGGTCACTAACTGGTTTTTGGAATTCATTGCACCAAAATACAATGTTGAGGGGTTTAATTGCTACTTTAAAAAGTTTAGGGACCTAATTGACTTTTTAGGTAAAGTTTGATGGCTTATTTGAATTTTTTCTTTATAAAAATTATAATTATAATTATTTTTGTTATTTATATTTAAATTAAACATGTTAACATTTAATTTAATTGATGATTATAAATTTGATTAAAAAAGTAAATAAAGAAGGCTACAGTTGCATATTATAAATTTTAAAAAATTAAATGAAAAAGTTGGCAGTTGAATAGCATACATTTTTATAAAATTAATAACAAATTTAAATAAAAATGTTTTTTAAAAAAAACAATTGTTCAGAACGGCGGCCACTCTGAAACTCTCCAGCAGGGTGAGTCGTGCGCTACAAGTGCAAGTCTTTTTTTTTTTTTTTCCTGACAAAAACATAATTTGCAAGAGTAAATTTTTTTTAAAAAAAATCATCTTCTCCATAAGCTAATCTCCTCAATTTTTTGATTATGCAAAAACTTCAAAAAACCTCTAATGGCCTTGATCTTAGCTGCGGAGCCCGGATTACAAACTGGGGAGGGGCAAGGGGAATAAATTTTTTCTAGATTGAAATTGTGATTATTATGGAAGAAAAAAAAAGCATCATTATAATGATATAATTGTTAGCAAATAATAAGAAGAAAAATTTATGCAAACTAAAAAAAAAAAATCATATTTATTTTTGTACTCCATTTGTCCCATTTTACATACATGGATAATAACTCAAATTATTTATAACTCACTTTTTATAATATTTAATTTATATTATTAGATAAACTTTACGTCTTTAAAAATTATATTCACATTTCTATTTGTTGAATGGAGAACTCCATATTTTTCATATATTTCAGACTTAAAAATACACATATATACTAAGGTAAGGATGAAAATCCAAATCTCTAAGAATATGCACATTAATCTCTAAAATCATGTTAAATATAATCCTACCATGTATAATGTGTAACACTATTAAACAAAAATAATTAAAATTTAAAAATATAAGAAATTGTTTAATAAATTAAGTAAACAAGAAAAATTAAATTCATCAATTAATGCTAAACAAAATTTGTAAATGAGAAATAAAGAGCAATAATAATTGGTGAGAGCTACGATTTATCAATAATTTAATCGCTTTCTAAAAAGATAGTAGTATCACTAAAGTGAATATAATGAGGCATCTATCAAATTTTACTAAGTAATTTTAAAGTTTAATTTAATCTATGATATTAAATATCGAATAATAATATTCTTCCAATTGAATAAATAATAAATTATATTTATGCATATTTGAAATTCCAAATTCTAGTATGACTATTATTTAATATTACTCCCCACACTTAGATCTTGTTTGCCCTCAAGCAAGACAAAACCAAGACAAGTAAATAGAAATGCATGTAAATAAGCTATCTTCCAAAGTTTATGTAAATAGGCTATGCACAAGAAGTCAAAATGTGTTGTTCCTCCCCTTACCTTAGAGATGTGGTGAAGTGAGCGTGACACCCTCAATTAAATCAAAATTTAAGCAAACTAAAAACTCCAAGATTACTCCTTATTTTTTATGGGACGCCTCTCAACATACTTAATCACAAGCAAAAGGGTTGATTCAATTCACAATCTCCAAGGACCTACCAAGCCGAGCCCACTAATGGAAACGATGCATACAGGCTTTCCAAACTTTGTCACATTTGACCCCAAAGACTCATTTAATCAACTGTTATGGTGTGGCACAATGCAAGCCGCTCCACGCGTTTTGACTTAGCGTGAATTTCCCTCTTTCTTCTTATCACCCTAGGACATACCGTCGAGTCAACCGCCTTCACGTAGAGTTTTGCGCTTTTCCTAAGTCTGTGCAATGGTTGCCCGAGTCCTACAAGATGGCTCACCTCATTTTTTTTTTACCTCTCAAGCAAGGATAGCTTAAAGTCTCTTTTAACTTTTTTCATTGACTCTTTTTGCATCCCCTCATGCCTTTTTCATTGGGAGTAGGGAATCACAAAACTCACCATAAAAAATCTCACATTTTGCCTTGTGCCACACCGATAAAATTCATTACATGTCTTAGCACCTTACATTCTACAAACCATCCCATGTACACTCCCATTTCAAAAGATCCTTGACCGGGGTGCATGAAAGTGGTGGATTGAATTTCAAACAAACATGCAAGAAATGTAAACCTAGTTGGGCTCTATGCAAAACTCACAATGGTGTAAGAGGCCATTTCCAAAAATTTTCAACCAATTTAGCTTATAACACCCATTTCACAACAGAACAACAACACACCCAAGAGCTCAAATACACAACCTATTTATTATGAACACAAAACAAAACACACAAGATTATGAATACAAAGAAAACACAAGGTACTCACAACAATCTTAAACCACTGAAACTTAAACCTTGCTTGCCCTCAAGCAAGTCAAAAACAAAGACAAACAACTAGTGTGGGGTTGGGGATAAAATGGGGTGGGGTATGCAACAATGAAACAATCATATGAATGCATGGGGCTATGGTTAAATCATGCAAGAGTAAATGAGTAGAGGGCGTAGGGAACTCCCTTGGAGTGATAGTCGAAAGTAGTACATTCTCTATGCCCATTATATCCGATCATTCAAAGCCTCTTCTCATTTGTGGGGGTGGGGGTGGGGGTGGGAAGGGAGAATCAAAATTTTTATCAATTGTTCAGTCTTGTACTTTAAGTTTTAGAGATAAAACTACTCTGACATGATTTAACCATAGCCCCATTCATATGATTGCTTCATTGTTATAACCTTTCTGCTTATATTTAAGATTTTACTCATTAGATTTAGAATTTATCAATTAATTGTAATATTTTGAATTTGATTAGTACATTGATCGTAATTTATTTTAGGTGATGAAGTAAATCTATAGTCATTATCTAAGGGTATGCACTAAGTAAACTCTACTCATGTGTAATAGTTTACAAAAACACATACACAAGGAAGATAAGTAGCATTAAAAAGGTCATGTGCAACAAGGTAGAAGGTGTTATGACTTATTGAGGAATTGAACATGTAACCTTCCAAGTATTAGTTGATTGTAATTTTTTAAAAAACATATTAGTAAGAATTTATGTTTACAAAATTTTAGGGTGGCCAATATTATATATTTATAAATATCAATATTAATGAATATAATAACTATAAATAAGCAATGCCCGGACAACTAAGCTTTGTTGCATTCAGTACAAAATTACTAATTGGCATGGCATGGGAAAGTTCTCTCCTAAATTTTCACCTGATTTGGCTTATAACCATGAATTAGCTCAATGATACTTCAATTCTCTAGCTCTCTCAAATGGGAGGATAGATACTACATTATAATAAAGTTAGTAATACTCTATATATATATATATATATATATATATATATATATATATATAGTGAGTAACATTACTTGTACAAAAATAATAGTACAATATTCTAATACAGCAATAAAAAAAATCCTGTAACTGCCTAATATTTTTATTTTCAAATTTTTTTTTACTCCGTATAATAAAGAACTAGAAATAAAAACCACTAGAAATTCAAATTTTTTATTGAAAAGACATCATGGCCTGGTTGGTTTGTGAATAATAAAATTATGAGTGGGTAGCATGAACTAAAAAAAAAAAAAAAAAAAAAGATTAACCAGACTTTGTAGTCTAGTGGCATCACATTGCTCTCATATGGGTCATGGAAGATTGTGAGTTCGAGTCTCAGCGGACTCTTTGTGCTTCAGTAAGTTGAAAAAGTAGTTATGAACCCATACTGCATTGCAACAGAGTCAATAGTACTAAAAAAAAAAAAGTAATAAGAGGGAAGAGACCCATGGTATGTCATCAGTAGCACAGCCAATTTTGATCATCATTTATTCACACATTAAGAAAGAAAAATGCTTCAGTGAACATGGAATTGATGGGAAATCATCTGTCCTTTCACACAGAATCATCTGTATTAAATGTGCCACCTGAATATAAACATGCAAAGTTGAAAGTTTAAGGTGGAGATAAAGGCTTTTGTCAAAGGAGATTCTAACAATCTCATGGAAATCATATGTTGAGCATCAAATCAAAATAACAGAAATCGCGTTATATCCAACCATATATCTGTGATCTGATGGGAGATCTAATCTGTGTTCATGGAAGTTAGAAAGCCCCATCTCACCAAAAGAAGAAGAAAACAAGGGAAAAGATCAAGCTGGGTTTGCTGCAAACAGAAAAATAATAATAATAATAATAAACGGAAGAACTTTACAATGAGAAGGCAGCAACAACCCTTCATGTATACTCATTCCTCGGTGTCATTGTTCACCTTGATCTCCAAGAGCCGACCAACTGGCTGTCTGCAAATGGGACACCAGTTCGTTTGAAACCTCAAAACTTTGGCGCACCCACTGCACATACACTGCATCGAGAAAGAATACTATTGTTTCAGATTCGAATGAAATTTTGCAAATAGTTTGTAAGCCAGTGCACTATATAGTTTGGAATCACTTCTTGGGACCTATCAAAGCAGCAAAGAAACAAAGAGGGAAAGCCATTAAAGCTTACCATGTGCCGACAGGGAAGTAAAATAGTGTCCCGAGGTTCAGAAAGGCATATGACACATTCCTTCCCGGTATGACTTTCATCGCATTTGCCTTCAGTTGAATTTCCAATTCCCAATATCTCTTGCAATTCATACTTCATGCCATTGACCCATAAAATTTGCTTAACCACCCTAACGTGATACTCACCTTTCTCCTTTTCAAACACAGCCTGAGTTATCTGCGAGTTCGTGGACACTGAAACTGTGTTTCCATCCACTGACTCACTTTGGTCATCCGGGCACGCCTCTGCCTTAATTGCCAGGGGATATACATCCATTTCCCCCTCCTTTGACAATTCTGATTCCTCGAACATCGAAAGGTCAATGCCAGTTCCGGAGGGTTGTCTAAACTTCTGAGCTAAACCTTGTTGGAATTTAACCGTCAAAGGTGGAAGCAAACTTTCCTTTACAGGACTCAACTGGCAGTCTTCCCCTACTTTTGCAAAGAAAGTGACAATCATTCTGCATATAAAGAAGAAATCAAACTCTTAAGTAAAATCATTGACTAGTCAGGGGATAAGTACACATGCCAAGACTCCATCATGAATATATATATATATATATATATATATATATATATATATATATATATATATATATATATATATATATATATATATATATATATATATATATATATGAAGATCGCAATATATTTGTTTGTGTGAATGATTGGACATCCCCAAAAATAGGTGTTTCATCCTACAACTGGAAGTGAACTTGAAAAGCATAGTACGGATATATAGGCATCCAAACAAAATTGTGCTCATATCGATTTGCAAATGGAACCATTTTCAGGGATACATCACCATATAAGCCTTCCAAACATGGAACTCTCTACTTGATGGTACTAATCTGGCCCCATGTACTATGCAAATCATGATTTGAGAGAGATAATGCTTGAATTAAAACAGTTCATAACTTCTTTGGAATACAATGAGAAAGCAAAACCTTATTCTTGCCCACAAAAGGCGAAATTCCCTTGCCCTCAGGACCCCACACCCCGGCCCGACAAGATAGTGGAGGGATAAATCACGGTAACTCAGTTGCCCTTTAGGGGGGGGGGAGGACTAGTGCCAGGTGCCCACGCACCAAGACTTGATCCTGTTTCCTTGCCTACAATCTACTACCCATGAACAAACTGAGTTGCCCGTTCAGGAAAGGTTGAGCTATAAGGGGAAGCAAATACCACATTCAGAACCTTGCAGACCCCATTCATCAAGATTGTCAATGGCAATAAGGACAAGAAAGAAAGATCCAATCTTTAGGGAAAATTTGAATGTTTAATGTACAAGGATAGACAAAATGACAAAAAAAAAAAAAGGGGAGGGGGGGGGAGACATCAGAACCCTGATAATCATAGAATTCATATCAATCCTGGTAAACGCCAAAACAATAATACCATCATGCTGCTATTTTGTCATTGAATTTCAAATGCATATTGCAATCATGCAGTTCAAACGAGTTTGCAATTAAGGAATTCATTTTTGTTATGATTTGGGGAAAAAAATTCGACAGACAAATTCTGACAAACCCACGCACCTTCCTGCAACAATGGCGTCGAAAGTGAAAGCCACGATGTATTTCCCGGGGTTTTCCTCGTCGGGCTCGATCCGTAACGTCTCCTTCTTGAGATCGAAGTCATTCCGGATAGTCACGGCCTTTTGGTGGTCCACATACGGCGCCGGCGGAGGCACCGTGGGCCCACACGGGTACCGTCCGCTAACCCAATTCGGGTCGACGCGGTGGTGGTGGTGGTCATAGGGGGCCGGCAAGGGCATCGGCACAGGCGGCGGCGGAGGCGGATAGTAACCCCCCGGGTACTGGTAATACGGCGGCGCGTTAGGATACTGGGGAGGGTAAGGCGTTGCCGCCGCGAATAGATACATGTTGGGGCTGATCTCCGGCTGCGGCTGCTGCGGCGGAGGCGCCGGCGGGTGGGCCCTCCGGTGGCTGTTGCTCCTCCGCCAGCCGTTCAGCCCGCTGCTCCCGGCGTTACCCATCTGATCAAAATCCCCCCCTTGTTTCCTCTATAAAAATTCCCAAGAAAAAGCAAAACCCAAACCGAATTTGATGAGCAGAGCACAAAATGGGGAAGCCCAATCTGAAAACAAGAGAAATGAATGGATTATGGGAGAGCGAGAGAGTGAGACATAAACATCAACCGGATGCTGATCAGTTTGCGGGGTTGGATTGGACTGTGAAGACTGACTCGGAAGCTCTCCTCCTTGAGAAGTTGGTTGCTGATTCCCCCACCTCCACTTCATAAGCTCGAAAAGAATGGAAGTCGCACACATTACACCACCAAAACCGGCAAAGGTTGCCAGAAGAACTGCCAGAACTGCTTGGATGTGGAGCTGCAAATCAAGGCAAAGGGGGGTAATGGTTGCTTTAGTGATTAGACAAACCCTTAAGTCCTTAACCATAGCTTTCATATTTCTTGGTCAGGTGTCTTGACCAGACCCTAACTGTAGGAAGCACCTTTAAGCGGTCATATTTAAACGTTCGTTCAGAGGTTATCAGTCCAGCCAGGTTTAGATCAAAATTGCAAAGCAAATGACCGAAACATCTTAGTATCTTACCAATGAGAAGAAGATGTGTGCGAAAAGAACCACCAAAGCAAACTGAGTTGTAGCATACACCCAAGCAAATTTTCTCCTCACTGAAAGCATAAAACCGGTCCATATTTCACAAAATTTGGATACTAAAAGTGTGAGAAACCGATGCAAAGAATGATGCCTAAATGTAGGAAGAACGAGTTTGAATACCCATAGTAGTCGATGTCATGGATGCAAGGAGACCCAAGATGCATGAAAACGGAAGAGATATCGCAATGGCACCAGATCCCATTCTTCCTACCTGCATACATATTTTGAAGAATTATAAGCGCCCCTAACCGACTTTAAAGACACAACTCCAAAGTTATATTTGGCATACCAAAAGTTGTTCTAGGAAGCAAAAGTAGGCAAGCATGCTGACAATAACAAGAACAGGAACATCCTGCCAAATCCTGAAACGTTTCGAATAAGTTTCGTGTCAATTATAAGATAAATGAACTTGAGAACGGTCGAACGGAGAATATCCATTGTAATGACGAAGGTTTTGATTCACTTGCCTGTATTGGATAGCAGCAGACTGGGGAATTCCAAGTCCTCGGGTTTGAACCCGTAAAAGTGTGACAGGCAAATTCCGAACCTCTTGCCTGCAGATATCGCAGATTTTGTTCCCTTTTATGCTAAACCATTTCATGGCACACTCGGTGTGAGCCAGGCCGAGTTCGCCTTTGCAACTGCATTCCATCTTAAGCGTGTCCACACCCTCCCCGAGTTCAACCAGACATATCCTGCACACAGCGTCTTCTTGGGTGATATCTTCGCCCAACTCATTGCTTCCATCTGAACGAAGAGACTAATGGATTAGAAACATCAAAATACAACATATATCTTTGTGGGAAACTAGAAACCGAGATAGATACTGATTACCAGAATCGATTACCTGCAGTGTCAGCTGGAGCTGCGGCTGATGTTGCTACAGACTGGACCGCAACACAAGGAGTAGAGGGAATGACGCGATATAGGCTCTCTACACACCCAACCTGTCTCGTGCTTCCATCTTTGTTTAAATCCGGAACTGAATTTGATCTGTGAATTGGGTACTCACTCCCGATTTTCTATTAAACAATAAACAGTATGGGAGTTGAGTGACTAGAGATACTAATTAGTACACAATTAGGCCTCGGGCCAGAGTTATAGATGAGGTAAAAGGTATGAATAGTATACATACCGCTAAGTTAAGTCCTCCATGAGCTGATTCGGGATTCGAGTGTGCAATTGGAGATACTGGCAACGACGATGTTCTATTCATTCTTGGATTGAAAATCCTCGTTACTGAGAGCTGCCTCAGTATCGAAGGCTTTTCCTGCCTCCCCGGGGAACATCCCAGAGCTAGCATTGCAGCCCGTTCAATGTCTGTTGTTGTATTCCGGAACTTGAAGCTTAATTTAGGAATGAAGCTTTTCACAGATGATGATTTACCCCTAGAGGACGAATCTGGAGATCCATCAAGTTTACCATGACAAGGGCTCGGTAAAGGAGAAAAGTTTACCCTTTTTGGAGTTGGCGATAGGGGTACGTTTATCCTCAAACAATCATCCGATGAATCTTCTGTCACTCGTTTTGGTATCTCTAAATCCAAGTTTTGCCTTGTTTGATGCACATTCAGAGATGACTCCTCCACAATTTCACTCAATTCATGAATCTACATAGACATTCAAGCACATAATCAATTCAATAGTAATCAGCTTCATTCTATGAATTCAATACAAAGAATCATAATAAATACACCAGGGAAATATATAAACATCATAGGAGCAAAACACCATGAAATTCTTTGTCAATAAAGACCTATCTGAAACCATATATTTTTTTCTTGAAATGAAAAGCAAATTGACACAAATTTATCAAGAACAGTTTTAAAGCTGGTAACTTTACTGGATATTTTCCCAACCCAGATCATAAAAAGTCTTGAAAATGATACCCAGAGAACAGAAAACCAAAAAGGAAGAAAATTGGCACCTGCCCACCTAAAAGCTATTGACCAGAAAACAACAATTCACCAGCAAAATTATGAATTAAAACAAGAAAACTAAAAAAGCTTAAAAACAAATATAGCTAGATTCATGTGACAGAGAAAGAGGAACCAAAATTCACTTAGAAAAGATAATTAAGCAAGAACAGAGATCAATATACAGGAATGGTGTTCATATATAACTCTGTACACATGTAAAGAGCCCAAAAGAAATACCTTCTGAGGAGGAAGAGGCGGCGGGGGGTTATTGTTGTTAAGGTGATGGGAAGAGTCTTCATCACCATTCTCCTTCGCCAAAGATTTCCCAATTGCAGCATCCATACTTTATTTACAGAATAAAATGAATGATAATCAAGAAGCTTCAATAATGGTGGCTTAGATGGGGAGTTCGGCTTATATGTCCATAGCTTAGCGTTTCAACAGCCAAACTTCCAGAGAGAGAGTGAGAGAGAGAAGGTGGTTTTGATGAGAATTGAGCTTGGGCAGCTGCCTACAAAAAAGTACAACTAATGTGGAAATGATATATTTTATTTCAATTAAAAGTTTAAATTGACAGTTGAATTGCATATTTATTACTTATATTTAGAGCATCCCCATTACTTGATTTTTTACGTTTTCTTGAGAATGATTTTGCTCAGGTGGATGAGAGAATGGGAGGAAAGAAAAAGAATGAGATTTTCCTGCAAAACTTGAGTTTTTATTAAAAATGTGGGACTCACTAAAATTAAACATCTCTCTGCATGTTTTACGTGCGCCGCAAAACAAACGCTCAACGGGCGCGTGCACTCCACAATCCACATGTCCGCTGGCGCGTGCACTCAACGTGCCCGCGGGGGCGCGTAAACATGTTTTATCTTCTTTTTTTTTTAATTTCCATTTTCATATTTTGTTTTGTTTTTTTTTTTTCCATTTTCTATTTCCTTCAATTTTCTCTTTCTTGACAAAAGTAATTCACCAAATTCCCTGAAAAGTGAGCGGTAATTCCTTTGACAAAAGTAATTTACTGAATTCCCTGAAAAGCTGCTAACAATGAGTCTACAACAGTTGCATGTGGCAGTTAATAAACGCATGACAAACACCAAAAGTCACCGTTTCACATTGCTTTATCATTTATATATCTCTTAAATATTTTGTAATACAACGGATCACTTTTGGCGCTTTATCGTGGACCTTTTGACGATTTTAGAGTGAGGAAAAAATTGCAATGGCATTTTTATAATTTTCTCTAATTATAAAGGTATATTCTCTAACAATATACGGTACACTTTGCAACACTATATTTTGGTCAGGTTGAAAGTACAATGCACTTAGAGTTTATTGTATAGTTTTTTAGTTTGATTTAGTGTTTCACTTTGTAGTTTGGTTTTAAGGGTTCGCTTTTTATTGCTTAGAGTTTGAATTAATAATTAGGTTTAAGATTTACTCCGGTAGTTTTTTGATTTTGGTTTTTTTGGGTTTATTCATAAATGCACTCTATATGGTTAAAAATTGCACTTTTAAAGTTGAAAAAATTATTAGAATACTAATGTGTTTTTTTTTCTCAAATTACAAAATATCTGTTAGATTTTTTTTTCAGATAAACAACTATGATTGATTTTTAGGTTTATCCTAAGAATAAATTTTCATGTGAGTGTGGATTAATAAATAATTTAAAAAGGAAAATGTAACAACACTTTTTATAAATTACTTATTTAAAATGCTTATCCAAATTAGACCTTTGTTCAATTTTGATTAGACAATGTAGCCTATGACATTGGCATGGGGGAGTGAACAAATTGGCTTGGCAACCACCAAAAGTCATTGTTTCACATTACTTTGACAATTATATTTATATCTCAGAAATATTTTTTTAGTGTAACGGATCATTTTTAGCGTTTTATCAGACTTTTTGATCATTGTTTTTATTGTAATGGATGATTTTTAGCGCTTTATCAGGGATCTTTTGATCATTTTTTTAGTGTAACGGATCTCTTTTAGCGCTTTATCAGGGACCTTTTGACCATTTTTTTAGTGTAACGGATCACTTTTAGCACTTTATCAGGGACCTTTTGACCATTTTTTTTAGTGTAACAGATCGCTTTTAGCGCTTTATCAGGGACCTTTTGATCATTTCTGTATACGTCAATCATAGTTAATTGTTTTACATACTTAATCACAAGCAAAAGGGTTGATTCAATTCACAATCTACAAGGACCTATCAAGCCGAACCCACTAATGGAAACGATGCATACAGGGTTTCCAAACTTTGCCACATTTGACCCCAAAGACCCATTTAATCAAGTGTTATGGTGTGACACAATGCAAGCCGCTCCACGCGTTTTGACTTAGCGTGAATTTCCCTCTTTCTTCTTATCACCCTAGGACATACCGTCGAGTCAACCGCCTTCACGTAGAGCTCTGCGCTTTTACTAAGTCCGTGCAATGGTTGCCCGAGTCCTACAAGGTGACTCACCTCATATTTTTTTTACCTCTCAAGCAAGGATAGCTTAAAGTCTCTTTTAACTTTTTTCATTGACTCTTTTTGCATTCCCTCATGCCTTTTTCATTGGGAGTAGGGAATCACAAAACTCACCATAAAAAAAATCTCACCTTTTGCCTTGTGTCACACCGATAAAATTCATTACAAGTCTTGCCACCTTACATTCCACAAACCATCATGTGTATACTCCCATTTCGAGAGATCCTTGACCGAGGTCCATGAAAGTGGTGGATTGAACTTCAAACAAGCATGCAAGAAATGTAAATCTAGTTGGGCTCTATGCAAAACTCACAATGGTGTAAGAGGCCATTTCCAAAAAATTTCAACCAATTTAGTTTATAGCACCCATTTCACAACAAAATGCAAGGTATAATGAACAACAACACACCCAAGAGCTCAAATGCACAACCTATTTATTATGAACACAAAACAAAACACACAACATCATGAACACAAAAAAAGCACAAGGTACTCACAACAATCTCAAACCGCGGAAACTTAAACCTTGCTTGCCCTCAAGCAAGTCCAAACAAAGACAAACAACTAATGTGGGGTTGGGGATAAAATGGGGTGGGGTATGAAAAATGAAACAATCATATGAATGGGGCTATGGTTAAATCATGCAAGAGTAAATGAGTAGAGGGTGTAGGGAACTCCCTTGGAGTGATAGTTGAAAGTAGTACATTCTCCATGCTCGTTATATCTGATCATTCAAAGCCTCTTCTCATTTGCTGGGGAAGGGGTGGGGGGTGGGGGAATCGAAATTTTTATCAATTGTTCAGTCTTGTACTTTAAGTTTTAGAGATAAGACTACGCTGACATGATTTAACCATAGCCCCTCATATGATTGCTTCATTGTTATAATATTTCTGCTTATATTTAAGATTTTACTCATTAAATTTAGAATTTATCAATTAATTGTAATATTTTGAATTTGATTAGTACATTGATCGTAATTTATTTTAGGTGATGAACTAAATCCGTAGTCATTATTTAAGGGTATTCACTAAGTAGGCTCCACTCATGTGTAATAGTTTACAAAACACATAGATAAAAGGTGTTATGATTTATGAGGAATTGAACATGTAACCTTGCAAATATTAGTTGATTGTAATTTTTTTAAAAACATATTAGTAAGAATTTATGTTTTACAAAATTTTAGGGTGGCCAAGATTATATATTTATAAATATTAATATTAATTAATACATATAATAACTAAAAATAAGCAGTGCCCGGACAACTAAGCATGCATTTTTTGTTGCATTCAGTACAAAATTACTAATTGGCATGGGATGGGAAAGTTTTGTCTCCTAAATTTTCACCTGATTTGGCTTATAACCATGAATTAGTTTATCCTACCAATTTTAGAAGAGTAAGTAACGCCAAGTAACCTATAGCTCAATGATACTTCAATTCTCTAGCTCTCTTAAATGGGAGGATAAATACTACATTATAATAAAGTTAGTAATACTCAAAAAAAAAAAATTATATATATATATATATATATATATATATATATATATAGTGAGTAACATTACTCGTACAAAAATAATAGTACAATATTCTAATACAGCAATAAAAAAAATCCTGTAAAATTTAACTTCCATTGAATTTTTTATTTTTTTAAAAAAAATCTATTGAAATTTCATACAAAATTCTAGCTGCCTAATATTTTTATTTTCAAAATTTTTTACTCCGTATAATAAAGAACTAGAAATACAAACCACTAGAAATTCAAAGAAAAGACACCACAACCTGGTTGGTTTGTGAATAATAAAATTATGAGTGGGTAGCATGATCTATTAAAAAAAGGGGGAAAAAAAAACCATTTGAAAATGATCTTGTAGTCTAATGGCATCTCTCATATGGGTCATGGAAGATTGTGGTTCGAGCCTCAACGGAATCTTTGTGCTTCAGTAAGTTGAAAAAGTAATTATGAACAGATACTGCATACTGCATTGTAACAGAGTCAATAATGCTCCAAAAAAAAAATGTAATTTTCTAAAAAATAAAACAAATAAAAACCCACTTTAGACCTCAGATTAAGAGGGAAGAGACCCATGGTATCTCATCAGTAGCACAGCCAATTTTGATCATCATTTGTTCACACATTAAGAAAGAAAAATGCTTTCAGTGAACATGGAATTGATGGGAAATCATCTGTCCTAAGTTTTCAGTCTTTTCAGACAGAATCATCTGTATTAAATGTGCCACTTGAATATAAACATGCAAATTTGAAAGTTTAAGGTGGGAGATGAAGGCTTTTGAGTTTTGTCAAAGGAGATTCTAACAATCTCATGGAAATCATATGCTGAGCATCAAATCAAAATAACAGAAATCGCGTTATATCCAACCATATATCTGTGATCTGATGGGAGATCCAATCTGTTTATGGAAGTTAGAATGCCCCATCTCACCAAAAGAAGAAGAAAACAAGGGAAAAGATCAAGCTGGGTTTGCTGCAAACAGAAAAAAAAATAATAATAATAATAATAAACGGAAGAACTTTACAATGAGAAGGCAGCAACAACCGCTTCATGTATACTCATTCCTCGGTGTCATTGTTGACCTTAATCTCCAAGAGCCGATCAACTGGCTGTCTGCAAATGGGACACCGGTTCGTTTGAAACCTCAAAACTTTGGCGCACCCACTGCACATACACTGCATCGAGAAAGAGAATACTATTGTTTCACATTCGAACGAAATTGGCAAATAGTTTGTAAGCCAGTGCACTATATAGTTCGGAATCACTTTTTGGGACCTATCATAGCAGCAAAGAAACAAAGAGGAAAAGCCGTTAAAGCTTACCATGTGCCGACAGGGAAGTACAGTAGTGTCCCGAGGTTCAGAAAGGCATATGACACATTCCTTCCCGGTATCACTTTCATCGCATTCGCCTTCAGTTGAATTTCCAATTCCGAATATCTCTTGCAATTCATACCTCATGCCATTGACCCATAAAATTTGTTTAACCACCCTAACGTGATACTCACCTTTCTCCTTCTCAAACACAGCCTGAGTTATCTGGGAGTTAGTGGACGCTGAAACCGTGTTTCCATCCACCGACTCACTTTGGTCATCGGGGCACGCCTCGGCCTTAATTGCCAAGGGATAAACATCCATTTCCCCCTCCTTTGACAATTCTGCTTCCTCAAACATCGAAAGGTCAATGCCAGTTCCAGAGGGTTGTCTAAACTTCTGAGCTAAACCTTGTTGAAATTTAACCGTCAAAGGTGGAAGCAAACTTTCCTTTACAGGACTCAACTGGCAGTCTTCACCTTCTTTTGCAAAGAAAGTGACAATCATGCTGCGTATAAAGAAGAAATCAAACTCTTAAGTAAAATCATTGACTAGCCAGGGTATAAGTACACATGCCAAGAGTCCATCATGAATATATATGAAGATCGCAATATATTTGTTTGTGTGAATGATTGGACATCCCCAAAAATAGGCGTTTCATCCTACAACTGGAAGTGAACTTGAAAAGCATAGCAAGGATATATAGGCATCCAAATAAAATTGTGCTCATATCGATTTGCAAATGGAACCGTTTTCAGGGATACATCACCATATAAGCCTTCCAAAACATGGAACTCTCTACTTGATGGTACTAATCTGGCCACACGTACTAAGCAAATCATGAATTGAGAGAGATAATGCTTGAATTAAAACAGTTCATAACTTCTTTGGAATACAATGAGAAAGCAAAACCTTATTCTTGCCCACAAAAGGCGAAATTCCCTCGCCCTCAGGGCCCCACACCCCGACCCGACAAGATAGTGGAAGGATAAATCATGGTAACTCAGTTGCCCATTACGTGGGAGGACTAGTGCCAGGTGCCCACCAAGACTCAATCTTGTTTCCTTGCCCACAATCTACTACCCATGAACAAACTGAGTTGCCCGTGCGGGAAATGTTGAGCCATAAGGGGAACCAAATACCACATTCAGAACCTTGCAGACCCCATTCATCAAGATTGTCAATGGCAATAAGGACAAGAAAGAAAGATCCAATCTTTAGGGAAAATTTGAATGTTTAATGTACAAGGATAGACAAAATGACAAAAATAAAATAAAATGGGGGGACATATCAGAACCCTGATAATCATAGAATTCATATCAATCCTGGTAAACGCCAAAACAATAATACCATCATGCTATTTTGTCATTGAATTTCAAATGCAAATTGTAATCATGCAGTTCAAACGAGTTTGCAATTAAGGAATTCATTTTTGTTATGATTTGGGGAAAAAAATTGGACAGACAAATTCTGACAAACCCACGCACCTTCCTGCAACAGTGGCGTCGAAAGTGAAAGCCACAATGTATTTCCCGGGGTTTTCCTCGTCGGGCTCGATCCGTAACGTCTCCTTCTTGAGATTGACGTCGTTCCGGATAGTCACGGCCTTTTGGTGGTCCACATAAGGCGCCGGCGGAGGCACCGTGGGCCCACACGGGTACCGTCCGCTAACCCAATTCGGGTCGACGCGGTGGTGGTGGTCGTAGGGGGCCGGCAAGGGCATCGGCACAGGCGGCGGCGGAGGCGGATAGTAACCCCCAGGGTACTGGTAATACGGCGGCGCGTTAGGGTACTGGGGAGGGTACGGCGTCGCCGCCGCGAATACGTACATGTTGGGGCTGATCTCCGGCTGCGGCTGCTGCGGCGGAGGCGTCGGCGGGTGGGCTCTCCGGTGGCTGTTGCTCCTCCGCCGGCCGTTCAGCCCGCTGCTCCCGGCGTTACCCATCCGATCAAAATCACACCCTTGTTTCCTCTATAAAAATTCCCAAGAAAAAGCAAAACCCAAACCGAATATGATGAGCAGAGCACAAAATGGGGAAGCCCAATCTGAAAGCAAGAGAAATTAATGGATTATGGGAGAGAGAGAGAGAGAGAGACATAAACAGGAATCTTAGGAGGGACGGACGAAGAAGATGGGATTGGATGGGAGGTTAATGGAATTGCGTAAAACTCCACCTAAAACTCCATCATTCATTCTTGTTTAAAAAAATTAGCTATGAACACCTTTTCTTTTTTCTTTTTCTTCTTTTCTTTTTTAAAATTTATTTATTTTATCCGTCGGGACGAGATAAAGTATATCATTTCCTATACGCAAATCCTTAAGAAAATATAAACAGATAATAGTCTATTTTCTATTATTAAAATAAAAACAAAAACAAAAACAATATAATATATTATTTACAAAAATATTCCCTTTTCTATAATTGATATTCCTAACTTAAATTTTTTCTGAAATTATAATTAATTGATACAACTATATATATACTGTTTTTGTTATATCTAGTACAATTATAATTTTAGTAGTACTAATCATATTCGATACAAACAAATAAGTTATACATAGTTGTACCTAGAACTATTTGTAGTAAATATGAATTTTTTGTGGGTAATTTTTGTTAATGTATCTTTAACCCGAACATGTAAATTTTTTATATTTTATAAATTAAAATTTTGTATGAAGAATTTTTTACATGTGCAAATTGAATGGAATATTAACTTACTCTCCACATCTATGAGACATTTAGAAAGGCATCACGGCGGTAATTGGTGTTGCAAATAATTAATAATGAAACACTTTTAATAAATAATAATTGTATTATTTAAGATAACATTAGGTACAACAAATTTTAAAATATGAAATATGAACCCCAAATTGATATGAAATATTTATTGGCATCATTTGCTTCTAAGATTGTCACAACAAATACTTTTCATCCTTTCATATACGGCTGACTTTCTCCTTAGAAATCTTAAGATTTTTGGTCTCCATCTCCTGGAGAACTCTAATTCCTTCTTGTGCATTACCAATTTTACAAAATCCCTTATAAAGCATGTTATAAGTAAAAGCATTAGGAGTGCACCCCTTCTCCACCATGTCATCCCATAGCCTCCCCGCGTCTAATATCTCGCCTTTCTCGCACATTCCTGCAATTAGCATGTTATACATCAACACGCTGGGCACCGAGCCTCTCTCGAGCTCGTCGAACAATTTCTTTGCTTCCCAGATTTTGCCCTCCTTACATAGCCAATGTATAAGCGTGCTTGATATTGTAGTATCCGGGGTGCAATTCTTTATCAACAATTTCTTCCATAGATCACATGCCTCTTGGACCTTCCCTGCTTCACACATGGCATCAATCACCCTACAACAAAGGGTTTCACTTGGTACATACCTGTTCTCGAGCATATCGTTGAGTAAGCTCACGGCTTCACCTGACTTCTTCCCCTCACACAAAGCCTCGATCATCACTGCATAAGTTACATCGTTTGGTTTCACCCCATTCTCCTCCATCTCATCCATCACCTTAACCGCATTCATCAATTGCCCTGTCTTAACAAAACCGTCCATCAAAATAGTATATGTTATTGCATCCGGCAACCATCCTCTATCAAGGGTCTCGTTAAACATTCTCTTGGCACCCACCATATCACCTCTAAGCACATATCCACCTAGAATGGTGGTGTAACTAACAACATTTGGAACTATGCCCATTGCAGGCATTTCATCTAAAATTCTAACTGCACCGTCAGTGTCACCTTTCTTACACAAAGCCTTTAACAAAATATTACAAGTGAACACATTAGGCACAATATCCAACTTGTTTCTACAAATCTTAAACAAGCCATGGACCAAATCATACTCTTTGTTATTAACCAAAGCATTCAACAGGGTATTAAAAGACTTCACCGACCTTTCAATTCCGACGCCCTTGATTTTCAAGAAAGTCTTGATGGCCTGCTTGGGTTTACTTGCAATACCATAATATTTAATGACAGTGAGAAACAGATTTTCAGAGCAAGTTATGTTAGTTTGTTGTAATTCAGCCAAAAGGGTCTCAACAGAATCAAAGGCACGAGCTCGACAAAGCTTGAGGATGATGGAGTAATATGTATGATAATTATGGGAAAAACCAGGGTGGTATTTACCGGCGTGGTAGAAGATATGGAGGGCCAGGTTTGGGTCAAGTTGGCGGGATATGAGAGATATGAGACGTTTATGGGTCAGATAGCGTGGCCAAGCTTGGATTGGTGGTGTGACGGTGTAAGACCGAAGCAGGTCCCTCTTGGTTTTGATGGCAGAGAGGTGGTGGTAGGACGGGTGGGCCTTGAAGGGGTCTTCATGTTGGGCAGCAGTACAAATAGTGGCAAAGCTGATGTGGTTGGCGATTGCAGCAACTGCCGGGTAGAGGCAGGGGCAGGAAATCCGAGGCGTCAACATGGGCTGCCGACCGTGCAAGGAGTTACAGATTATGGCCTCTCTAGTCTACTAACTGCACATTGCAATAACAAGTGGGCTTTGTCAATTTGACAATTCACCTGCTCTAGTCAAGGTAACAAATTATCATCATTTACCAATAATAGATTTTGCAGGAGAACTTTGTTGACAAGTACTATGAAAAATGAAAACCAGTCAAGATTTCATTAGTAAAGCTAAATAAGTGTGCATGGTGTACCTTAATTTGTAGGTGTAGAACAAAAGAATATCTGATGAGGTTTTTCCTATCCTCCTCCTCTTGATCAATTTTCAGCAAATGCTAACCCTGTACCAGTGTACCACATTCTGTTAATTAACATAGACAATAAGTTGTACTCAAAAACTAAAAACAAATATAAAGGGAATACATTTCAGTCAACATATTGCATCAGATTGTTCACTGGCTCAAAATTCAGCTCACCTCAGTAGCTATACACAGCCTTATTTACTTACCTACTATAATTGTTGAATAATAAGCATATCATATCTCTCAAGAGGGTGAAATGAACCATTATCCATTTTTTCCTACACGGGAGAAAGGTTTTAGCTAATATTTTACAGATTATTACTTAAGCTTGTTAACAGAGGAAATCTCGTGCCAAAAAGTAATAAATTTTCACTAATAAAGTGGCAATACCACCCCCTTCCTATTTGATTCTGAAATCTGAATCACAAAACAGTGTTCTCAATACACAGTTACCAGCACTACTGCTATTTACCATTCTTTTATCTGTATCTTAAGTAATTCAACCTTTTAATGTGAGATTGGACAGAAATCTTCCCCTTAAATGATGCACTTGTTTGGATTGCACTGAGACTATTAAAAATTTACAATACCTCATCACTTTGCAAGTAATGATTTAGTTATCTATTTATTTTTTACTAAATCCTTCTTATTACTAATTTATTATTAACAAAAAACTCTCCTTTTATTGTCTTTTTTGAATTAAAATCTCTACTTTTGAACTATGCTGCCATGCCTACTTTTTGAAAAACCGACCATTGGTTTCCGTCCGTTATATCGGTAACCAAAAACCCTAAAGATTAACAAATTATTCAACAATTAATAGTTAAAAACTCCAATGTGCAATATAATTCCAAATATTTCGAACCAACTGTACAAAAATTTACATAAAATATTTCAAACACACAGTACAAAAAAGATTACATAAAATTCATAGTAACACACTATCCAAACACATTAAAATTTCAAATATTAATGAAAAATTAAAGCAATGGCAGCATTATAATGTATGAAATCCCTTTTGATTTTAATATGTAAAAAATAAAAAATTACCTTAAAATTACAATGCTTGGCTGAGGGGTGTCGGTGCGAGGCTGTAGAGCGAGGCCGGAGGACCGTCGTGGCGTCGTGCGTCGCGCAAAACCGGAGAAGTGGAGAACCATCGTGCGCCGTGCAGAACCGGAGAACCGTCGAGCAAGAGACCGGAGAACTGAAGAACGTCGCGCGTCGCGGAGACCGGAGAAGCAGAACTGCAGTCTGCAGAAGGCTGTGAGAGTGTGATTGCCGCGAAGAACCCAGAACAAGAGGGAATGAATTATGAATGGCAGAAAATCTGGGATTAGGGGGATTAGCCGATTAGGGGATTTAGGGCTATTTTATCAAAAAAAAAAAAAAAAAAAAAAAGGTGGAGGGGTGTGGGCGCAAATTATGCCATGGAATCGTGTTCACCGAGAATGGTGAACACAAGGCAAAACGACGTTATTTTTAGGTAAAAAAAAAAAAAAAAAAAATTGCGGATGTGGAGTTAACGGCGCGCGTTTGATCAAATTATGAATTTTCTGTTATGAGATTATGAATTTTATAAAAATTCATAATCGCATAACAGAAAATTCATAATCTCACAACTGAAAATTCATAATCTCATAACAGAAAATTCATAATCTTATAACAGAAAATTCATAATCTCATGGTTCCAAAGTGAATGTGTAGGCATGGTTCCAAAGTGAATGTGCAGGCATGGATTCATAATTTATGAATGTCCGTGATTTCGGACGGGAATGTGTAGGCATGGTTCCAAAGTGAATGTGCAGGCATGAATTCATAATTTATGAATGTCCGAAATCTTTGTTCACCTCAAATTAAAGTGAAACTGCAAAATGTGAAAATAAAGAAGAAAAGTCACGCAATTAATTAAAAATAATAATAATAATAAGATAACGGTGTACTAACACCGTTGGAACCGTGTTCACCATGAATGGTGAACACGGTTCCATGGCATAACGTCTAGGGGTGTGGGTGGGGGAGCATTTAGCGCAAATTATATCGTCCACCTCGGTGACCGATCGTGAACCGCGCATCAAAACGATGTCGTTTGGTTTAATGAAAAGAAACAGAATCTTTGCAAAAAATAACTCTGTTCTTCAGTTTCATTTTGTATACACTGTAGTTTTAGTTCAACACAACTACAGTTTCATTTTGATATAACTACAATTTCATTCAATATTTATACACTCAAATAGTCAAATATGTGAAAATGTTATTTAATTTCATTTTATATACACTACAGTTTCATTAAAACACAACTACGTGATCATTTCAATATAATTACAGCTTCATTGTACAATATACACTCAAATATATGAAATATTATTCAGTTTCATTTTATATATACTGCAGTTTCATTTCACCACAACTACAGTATCATTTTGATATAACTGTAGTTTCATTTGATAATATAAAAATAATACGTGAGACAGTGTTGGTTTAGACACACTGTAATGTCACTCCATTATAACTACAAAAACGGTGTCGTTTTGACACGCAGTGCATAATCGATTATGCACTGCGGTGCACGATATAACGACTGAGCATTTAGGGCTATGCACTTTTCGTTTTCTATTTTGTATTGGGCATTTGGGCTATTGGATATTTGGGTGGGCATGGGTTATTGGGTTTTGGCAAAATGAAATACAGTGTTGGACTATTGGTCCATTGGAGATATATATATATATATATATATATATATATATATATATATATATATATATATATAAAATTCAGTCCCGTGCTAAATCTGAGCCATTGATTTTACTTAAATCAACGTCTAGAATTACTAAAAAAAAATAAAAACTTGATAATTTTTGCCTCTAGGTCAAATTTAAGGTACGTGATTTTTTTGTTTAAGGTGCATGAGTTTTGTGCTTAAAGTGAGTGGATTGTGTGTTTAATGTAAGTAACTGTGAAACTTAAGGTGCGTGGTTTTCCTTATGAAGGTGCGTGATTTTTGTGTTTAAAGTGTGTGGGTTTTGTGCTTAAGGTGCGTGGGTTTTGTGCAAAGAATTTTTATATTGGATAAAAATAAAGACAATATAACTAATGAAATTATTTCTCTTATTTAATTTATTTATAATGAATAATTTTTTTTTGAATAAAGACATTGTAGACACATAATTCTAAATTAAAGAAATACATATGTATTTTTTTTTTTTGTTGTAGCTACTAAATTATTATTTATAATTTAATAAGAGTAAAATATAGTACTAATTATGCCAATTTTGATTGGGATGTGGTTCGAACCTAAGACCTTTCTTATTGAAATCAATGAGTAAGTTAACGGTGAACCAACAGAAATTAACGGAAAAGATAATATTTAACGGAAAAGTTAACGGATAATCATATTCATTAAGGATAAATTAGAAAATGTCAAGGAAAAATTAAAATTTGATCAATCTGAGCCATTCATTTGATTAAAAAATTTGACCGTCATTTTTTCTACTCATTATAGGTCAAAACTCTCTTGGAGTCTTTTATATATATACTAGTTTTTTAATTTTTACGCGCATTGCGCGGGTGGTATAATGCCCAATGTTTTTTTTTTTTAAATAAGTACTTTAAAGTATATCAAGACAAGATTATATTGATATTGTTCATGCATAGATAATTGAATGTTAAATTTGCCTATTTAAATAAGCAATTCTAAATTTACAATTGCAATATAATATAGTCAAGATTTATTATAATTGTCAATAAAATAATTGTATAACTATGGTAGAAACCAAATACGGGACATAAGGGAGAGCAAATAAAAATTAGGGCATAAAATATTAAATATATATTAATATTGAAGAGCTAACTGCGGATTACCAAACAAAGACATTGCTAGATAATTTCTCACTTCAAATTGTTGTGATTTGAATACTCTTTTTGTCAATAAATCCCTCAAGTAGTTAATAATTATATATATATTTTTTATTTTTTTTAAACTATTATTATTATTATTATTATTATTATTATTATTATTATTATTATTATTATTATTATTATTATTATTATTATTATTATTATTATTATTATACCCTTAGGTCATTTTACATGTTAATCTAAACAACTAATTTTTTCAAATATCTTTTTAGCAACCGTTGATATAATTCGCTGGTCAAATTTGCTAATATAATCCGCTAACAGCTGATTGTCAAACAAGGACATTGCGAGGTAGTTCTCACTTCAATTTGTTGTGTGATTTGAATACTCTCTTTGTGAACAAATTAAATCCCTCAATAAGTAGTTAATATGATTGACTTTATTATTATTTTTTAAATTTTTTCATGTTATTAATAAAATACATGGTAAATAAATATATAACATTATTTTGTATTATACCATTATTTTTATATTGGAGAAAAATAAATACAATATATCTAATGAAATTATTTCTCTTATTTAATTTATTGATAATGAATAATTTTTTTTTTAATAAAGACATTGTTCTAAATTAAAGAAATGCATATGTATTATTTTTGTTGTAACTACTACATTATTATTTAATTTAATAAGAGTAAAATAGATTACTAATTACGCCAACTTTGATTGGGATGGGGTTCGAACCTAAGATCTTTCTTATTGAAATCAATGAGTAAGTTAACGGTGAACTAACAGAAATTAACGGAAAAGATAATATTTAACGGAAAAGTTAACGGATAATCATATTCATTAAGGATAAATTAGTAAATCTTAAAGAAAAATTAAAATCTGATCAATCTGAGCCATTCATTTGATTAAAAAATTTGACCGCCATTTTTCTACCCATTATAGGCCTATCTCCCTTGGGCTCTTATTAGTATAGTAGATATATATATATATATATATATATATATATATATATATTAGATAGAAATAAAGATTATTTGAATTTGAAATAACTAATTTAATTATATAGCTAATGTATTTAAATAAAATTTTTAAATAAAACGACAGGCAATATTTATCGAAAATCTCCAGTTCTCCACCAAAAACTTATTCATTTGAAAAAATTATTTAGGTAAGATTATGTTTATTTTACATCTAATTTTTCCTTTTTACCTTTTTATATATGTGTGATTTGACTCATTTGCACCCCTATCCATGGACTCTTTGAGCTTTGTTGCATGACACCGCGAACCAACAGTTGGCACCTTACACTGATAGTGTACAAATGAGCAAAAGCGTGGACCCAAGATTATTATAAAAACGGACTCTTCGAAGCAGGGCATACCCTCTACTTCACTCTGGTGTGTGTTTGGTTCATAGGTTTACACATTAGGAATGTAAATCAAAATCATAGTTATTGTTTGGTACTTTGACTGACAACTTTTTAAAACACAATTATGAATTTTGATTAACACTTCAAGTAAAAATTTCATTCTTAATTAAAAATAGTATCATTCCATCTTATTAGTAATCTATATGAGTTTTGATTAACACTTCAAGTAAAAATTTCATTCTTAATTAAAAATAGTATCATTCCATCTTATTGGTAATCTAACTTTAAAGTTTGAATAAGTACTTTTAGATTTTTGTTTTGATTTTTTTTTGTTCATATTGTACGCTCTAGGCATCACAATATTAACCACGCAGGCTCCTCAGCCCATTCATCCTCAGCTCCTCTCTTCGGTGTGTAACCCAAGTATTCATTGTCGTATACAATAAGTCAGAAACTACTTATCCCTTTGCTGAATTATAAACACATCTTTAGTGTGTAATTATTAATTTGTATCTGTCAAGCACATTGTGCTCATATCGCATGTAGTGACTCTCTTATATGGGAAATTATGAGATCAAACCTCAGTGAAGGCGGTGTTGACTCTTTGCACTTCAATAAGTTAAGAAAGTATGTTATATACTACAATATAATAGAGTCAGTATTAGTGTACTCAAAAAAATCTAGACTAGAATTCACCATGCGTATTATGAATTCTGATTAGTGATTAGACTATGTAAATGTCGTTAACATATTAATTATATGCATATATATAAATAAACTCAAGGTCCACAATGTGCACGTTGAATGCGTGATTCGGTCTACAATGCACATATTGGACATGCGTTCACGGTATAAGGTAATAAATTTTTACAAAAACAAAAGAATAAAAAAAAAAGTTAAAATAATAATTAATAATTAGTTAATCAATTCATAATTCAAAATTGATATTATGGAATATAATTTGATTGCCGGTCTCCTTCACATCAGACCAACAATTGGTTACATAAATGGAAAACAGACTATGATTCATCAAAGATATAATTAATTATTATATATAATATAATAAAATTGCCTGCTGCAAAAGGCAGAGAAAAGTCAATGATTACTCAAACGCTAACTCAAATGAATACTACGTATGGATATAAATAAAAATACATTAATAATATATTTAAAAATACATTATTTACGGAGCAAATACCAATTTTAGTCTCACAAATATTAACAGAATAATAATTTTGGTCCATATATTTAATTCCTACCAATTTTCATCAACGACTATTGTTTTAGTGCCAAAGTTCATCACATTGATAACTCATCCGTTTAAGACATGTTGAAATCTTAAAATTGTAAGAGTATTTTCACCCTTTTAAACTTAAGATCCCGATTTGAGCATGAATAAAGGGATTTAAGTCCTAAGATCGATCTCAATTCGACGTTTTCATCCTCATCCTACCTTAATTTGAGGAGGAGATTTGCGAATTAGGATCGATCTTATGGCTTAAATCCATTTATTTATGTTCAAATTGGGATCTTTATTTAAAAAAGATGAAAATGCCCTAATAATTTCATATTTCGGCATGTCTTAAACGAAGGGATAACCGACGTGATGAATTTTGTCACTAAAATAATTGTTGTGGATGAAAATTGGTACTAAAATAATAGTCGTGGATGAAAATTGGTAGGAATTAAACATGTGGACTAAAATTGTTATTTTACTAATACTCGTGGGATAAAAATTGGTATTTACTCTTATTTAAGTACAGAAAGTATATTATTTTATTTTATATATAATAATCAAATAATATTGGTTCTTTTTAAAAAGTGTAAGTTTATTCAAGTTGAATTGAATTCTTTTATATATCATATTAGAAGTTTTTATATATAGAACTGCTTCAACATTTCAAATTAAAAATTATGATCCGCTTAGAAATTCAAAATAAAATAAAATAAAATAAAATAAAAAGAAAGAATTTTTAAAGTAAAAAATAATCATTCTATTCAAATTAAAGGAAAAAATTATTCATTTTAGCAATATCCCATCTCCCATGCTCAGCTCACCCACTGGCATAGTGGCAAATGTAGTTAGCAAGTGCAAGCGTTAGATGTAAATGCATGCAGTGATAAGTCTAGGTCGCTCATATTTATAGATCAAAGAACAAAATAGAGTTACTGATATACATGTTGGCAAGGAAATCATTGAAGTATAATATATTGAAGTGTGTTATCTCTGCCTTAACCGAAGTATGATATTCTCGAGCTCTGAACAATGACTTCGTGAGTGTCCATTTGGCTCGTGCAGTCATTAGAGATAGTTGGGGTTTCCCCCTTCATTCGAAAAAAAAAAATGTTTTAAAAAGGATTGAATAATTGTAACAACTTTTTAAAAGTCATTGATAGTACAATAATGACGAAAGATGACAACTTCTGGTGACCAAAACTGAAGGTTCTAGTGACAATTTTAATTTTGTTATTACTAAATATACAATTTCTTGTAGTGTGTGATTTGAATTAGTATAAATATATCACAACGTTCTTAAGGTTGTGTATGGTTGTATGCACGTATGCACTTACAATGACGAAAAGTTTGCTACGCGCTTAGTTTCTGATAAAAGACATTGTTTCCGACCACTTATGGGATCCACACAATTGCTTATTTGTATCGCCGACAACCAATCAATATTACTAATCACTTTTTTTTATCATTGTCAAACAAATTTGATTAGTAGCCCCCCAAAGGGTTACGGAACGGGTGGAGCTCTTATATAATTTGCGAGCTACTATACAATAATAATATAATTTACCCAATTTAAATTTTCGGATAATGACAACAAATTTATCTCATCACAAACAAAATAATAATAATAAACAAATAATCAATTAGCAGTCCTAGCTATGTTTGGCTTATATAGCTTAAAAGTTAATTTAAATGCTTAAAAGTTAATAGCTATTAGCTTATTTTGAAACGCTATATATGTTTTACAAAAAAAAAAAAAAAAAAAAAGTTTAGAACTTAGGATGTGCTTGAAAAATCCGAAAAATGATTTCCGGAAATCATTTTTCAGGTTCCCTGTATTTGGTAAGCAAAGGAAAACTTGAGTCAACGGAAAATATTTTCTGAGTACACTGTGCGACCTTCAGTAGCTCAGTCTTCATCTTCAGCACAACCTTCTTCATCTTCGGCATGAACTTTTGGCACTCTGGTCCGCTGAAAATGAGACGGAAACCATAATGCCAAATTTCTGGTCGATGAAAACAATCAACATGGTTTCCGTGCAGAAACCAAAGATTTGTTATAGTTTCCGTGCAAAAAACCAGAGATCTATTCTGATTTTCACCAAAAATTAATGAAGTTTTCGTTTCGTTTTGTTTTTTAATATTGCTTGATTTTTTTAATATTGTAGTATTATATTTAAAATTGTTTTATTATTATTATTATAAATATTGTTATATCATAAATAAAATAAATAAAATATTTAATTATACAATTCTGCTTATTTTCCACAAAATGAACAAAACACATTGATGATTTTGTTGGAACAGGGTGCACCATAAACCGGGTATATAGGTACATAATCGGGGTAGGAAAATAGTAGCTTTATTACATGGGATGCTAGGCCCTAAAATAGTACGGAGTACATACAAAGCCCGAGACATTGGTCCAAAGAATACCTAAATAATATACAAGCTATAGACCTAATAATAAAATAGGGCCCAAAGTGGCAGCCCGAATAATAAATAATACAAGATATAACCCTGTTTCTGAATAATAAATAAATAATACAAGTTATAACTCTAATAATGAAATAGAAACAATAATGTTACTATTAGGAATTGAACCTTGGCGTGTCAATAAGAGAGAGATGACTTAGACCAATGGACCAAAAAGGCTTTGGTAGTGAGCTAAGGGCTGCCTTTTAAGGGGGGGGGGGGGGGGGGGATGATGCCTATTTATATTGTTGAAGGGCTCACGGATGGTTGACAAATGGACGGCATCGGGAGCCTATACTTTGGCACTCCCATGCATAAGTAGAGCTTCCTATACTTTAATATAATAGATCTTGAATAGCTTGGTCGTTTGAAACTTGTCGTTGTTATAAATGGGAGGTTGTGGGTTGGATGCCCCTTTATAACACTTCTTATAATATTTTGCTCCAAGCTTCCATATTTTCTTAGCCCAATAGATTTTCATTATTCTTATTGGGCTGACACTTCACCATAAAGATGGAATGTGGGTCGACACTTCACCATAAAGATGGACACCCCCACTTGGACGGTTGGACCAAGACTTTTCTAATAAAATGGACCTCCAGGTCCCATGTTCCCATCATAAATTTTGAAAATGTTTTTTTTTTTTTAATTTAAAAAATGACTCATTTTTCAAAAAACATTTGCCAGAAGTCATTTTTCAGGTTTCCAAACACAACTTTATTTGTAAATTAAAATAACCTATAAGCTCTACCAATGATTTGTTGCATTTGATTTTGATACGTCTCCTAGCTTTTTGGCATATTCTTCTAACGGTAAGTATGTTACCGGAAATATAACAAAAGAATAACGAATTATATTGATTCAGTATTTCAATACAGAATATTCAGCGTGTCCTCTACTAAGCTAGGAGTGCTCTACTTATACGGAGTCCCTAACGGTAACATCATAATGAGGAGCTGAGCATTCATTTCTCTTTCTTCAAAGCGTGCAGTAAATGACCTGCAGTAATATTTCCACCCGTTGGAATTCTGTCTGTTGGAGTCTTTTACCGTTGTTCTCTCTGTTGCACCCGGGTGAGATATTTGTTGGTGATTCGGGTCGGGTGCTTGACCCATTACTCAGTCCCTTCCCATATAATGCTTCTAAATTTTCAGCATCTATACACTTGTAGAAGAACAAACATCGTTTCCTTTTGTTTTCTTCAATTTCTGGTTTCCACTGGACAATGGGGAACTTAGCATGTGATAGATGTTTATACACGATGTCGTCACATCCCAATTCATTCCATCTCCTACAGCTTAATCTGGTATTGAGGAGATCATCTCATGAATGAGCAGAGACTCTTGCAAGAATCTCGACAACCAATTCTTGAAGAAGAGAATGAATAGAAGACGGAACAACATTATTAATTGTTTTGGCGTCGTCGGTTCTCCTCATCTTCCATTCCTATTTGTGTCCTAATCCTATTCCCAGGGAGGACGCCGCAGAAGGAAGAGGAGTAGAACCGACGTCGCCAAAACAACTAATAATGTTGTTCCGTCTTCTATTCATTCTCTTCCTCAAGAATTGGTCGTCGAGATTCTTGCAAGGGTCTCTGCTCATTCATGGGATGATCTCCTCAATGCCAGATTAAGCTGTAGGAGATGGAATGAATTGGGCGGTGACAACTTCGTGTATAAACATATATCACTTGCTAAACTCCCCATCGTCCAGTGGAAACAGGAAATTGAAGAAAACAAAAGGAAAAGATGATTGTTCTTCCACAAGTGTATAGATGCTAGAAATTTAGAAGCATTATATACGAAGGGATTGAGTAATGGGTCAAGCACCCGACCCGAACTACCAACAAATATCTGACCTTGGTGCAACAGAGAGAACAACGCTAAAAGACTCCAACAGACAGAATTCCAACGGGTGGAAATATTACTATGGGTCATTTACTGCGAGCATTGAAGAAAGAGAAAAGAATGCTCAACTCCTCATTATACCTCATTATGATGTTACCGTTGGGGACTCAGTATAAGCAGAGCTCTCCTAGCTTAAGAGAGGAGTGGTGGACACGCTGAATATTCTGTACTGAAATACTGAAGCAATACAATTCGTTATTCTTATATTATATTTCCGGTAACATACTTACCGTCACCTTCGATTCCATTGTCTTTTTATTTGTCATATTGGATTGAACCCTAAGGGCATCCACAACTCTTCTTCCCTGATCTCCCTTTATGTAGGCCTTTAATCGAAATGACATCATTTTTATCTTCATATTTGAACGGATTTTGAAGGTTAATTTTCTCATTTTCTATAACTCTACACATCTACTAATCTATTTCAAGTACACAATTCATACTCTTAATATACACAATTTCATAAACAAGACACAAAAACTCATAACACAATATACATACACATGTTATATACGGAGTATTTACTTATTTTCAAATTTGATTTAGGTATATAATTTATGTTCTATAAGCACATAATTTAACAACACAATACATAAATTTATATCATAATGCACAAAGTATGTTGTGTGTTACGCAACTACTAATCTATTTCAGACACATATATAATTCATACTCTTAAGGTACAGAATTTCAAATATGATTTAGATAGAGAATTATGTTTTATAGGCACAAAATTTCACAACACAATACATAAATTCATAACATAAGACACACAATATGTTCTGTGTTACGAAACTACTAATTTGTTCCAGCTACAGAATTCATACTCTTAAAATACAGAATTTTATAACATAAGATATAAAAATTCATAATACAAGACAGATACATATGCTTTATAGCAACAAAAAAAAAAATTGTAATGTAAATTGGACAACAAAACGATCGATGTCAAAATTAAAAAAAAAAATCTCATTCGAAAAGGATGTTGTTGGACCAGGGTCTATAAATATAAGGATTGCTATGGACCCTAGCCAACAAGAATTGAATTGTTCAAAATAACAAAGTGGAAGGTGACTATAATCCAAAAGGAATCCCCCAATGTCCAAGGAAGAATATGGAAATTTTGGAATTCCAAAAATAGTTATATTTTAAATGTAGAAAGTTTTGTCCGCTAGCTCTTTACTATCAAGTCAGTTCTTCAATCAGAAGATGCAAATAATGATTAGTTTATGAAATTTTCATGTGTACAAGTTTATATTCTAATGCGTAACGGGAACGTGGTCCTGCTTGAAATAGAGATAGTGGGTGAATGCTCCAAGTTGAGAAATAAACAAAATATTAACTCTATAAATTAGTGTGGAAATTATTAGCCAAGCACCTTGTACTCAGATGGCATGTAGTAACATTTTTCATGTGGAAGGTCATGAGATTGAGCCTTAGTGGAGACGTTGTTGACTCTGTGTGTTTCATTAGATTGAGAAAGTATGTTTGATGCGAGTCAGTAGCGTTAAAAAAAGTGCGAAAATTATTAATTAACGATTAGATAAATAATATAATTTGACAAAGTTGAAAAATCTTGTTATAAAAAAGAATAGTGTGGAAATGGGTCATGTAAAGCATTTTGTTACATAAAATAAGAAAATACGTATTGTATTTAGATTAAATTTTTATATGATGTGATTTAAGATAAATGTTGAAAGTTATTACTTATAATTTTTTAAGCCAAACTCGATAAAATTAATGTGCTAGTCTATGAGGAATTCCAGATTGACTACTACCAACTGGTTAGGCTAACACCTCGAGACCAAGATATCTTGTTCTATTTTGAGGGGTCACAATAAGACAGTAAATTATTGCTACTAAAGGATAAAAGTAGTGATAGAAAACCAAGTAAGTTATTGCCTTTAAATGACAAAAGTAAAATCGAACAAGAATGATCCAAAAGATCTCACATCCTATCCTATATATAAAAAAGCCAAACAGATTTGGTGTAAACTCCCGCTCAAAGTTTTGGAGATTTTTTTCCCTTTTAAATTTTTTTACTTTGAAATTATTACCTATAAAAAAATATTGGATTTGACATTACGTGTAGCCTTTTATTGCTATTGCTTTAGTCTACTGTTCCCTCATTATATATATATATATATATATATATATATATATATATATACACACACACACACACAAAATCGAATTAATCAAATATTTAAGTCCTATATTTCTCCTTTTAACAAATATTCAAATTAATTTTTTGAAAAAATATTTTCTGTAATTTTGTATATGAAATAAAACTCAACTGTGCCCTCATTATATATATATACACACACACACACACAAAACTGGATTAATCAAATATTTAAATCCTATATTTCCCCTTAACAATTGTTGAAATTAATTTTTGTAAACAATATTTTCCATAATTTTGTATATGAAAAAAAATTCAACTATGTTAATAAATCTGGAAAAATGTATAAAATTGAAGATTACCTTATGGCAAAATAGTTGATCTGAAGAACGAATTTGCACGCGGAGGAAGAGAGAGCGAAGAACCAGAAGATCCTTGGACGATGAACCGTGGGATCATTGGGCGGAGTACCGTAATAGCCGAGGGCGTAGGCCGAGAGCCGGAGGAGCGTGAATGCCGGAGAAGGAAGAAAACGTAGAGATATGCATTTGAGTGAGAAGCTACGCAATAGGTATATATAGGATATATAAGGGTTGCGTCTAGGGTTAGTTATTTGGGTTGGGTTGGGTTTTGTTTTGTTTTGTTTTTTTTTTTCTTTTAGTTTTTAGTTTTGGGCCGAGTTTTGGCTAGATGAATAAGGACTTTGATTTTAAATGTTAAATAAATGGGCCGAATAATTAAGTTGATTGTTATATTTGATAAACAATATTTATGCAGTGGAACCATGTTCACAATGCGCATGGTGAACACGAGATAAATTCATAATTTTTAAACTCTAGATTTATAACATTTATACTGTAGATTCATAATTTTTATACTGTAGATTCATAATTTATGTACTGCGAAGACGGAATAATGCGATTGCGAAGAGACAAACGTCGTTACCAACAAATGAAAAAAAAATGAATCTACATCATCGAAATTATTAATCTACCCCTGTGTTCACCATGCGCATGGTGAAAACGTTTCCACAGCATAATTTGCGTTTGATAAATTAGCCAATTATTATTGCATGTTCTACATAATTGTGTGGATCATAAATAAAAAATATATTTTTAATATACTAAGGGTACATTATTTATGTACGTAAGGTATATTTTTTGAAAGTACATTTTTAATATATTAAGGGTACATTATTTTATATAATATACTTTTAGTACAAAAATAATGTACTTTTAATATATTAAAAATGTACTTGGTATTGATGATTCACACAATAATTTGCCTAAATTAGCTGGGTTTAACTACATAAATTTACACATGTAATTATTCTTGTTTTTCTTTTAAATTTTATATTTATATAAGTTATAATTTATGTAATATAATTATTATTCCATCTAATTTTTTAGTTTTATGTTTATAAAAGTTTAAAATTTTTTAGTTTTATATTTATAATAATTTACAAATTGTGAGGCATGCTGGATTTTTTTAAGAAATTAGTATTTAATCATGGTTAGTTATATATAGATATCTTTTCTAAAGAAATAATGGTTAGTTACAAACTTTTTAATAATTTATAATTTTGATTAGTTTTTTAATAATTTAAAAAGAAATGTTTAATAATTTATAATTTTGATTTTTTTTTGTATGTTATTGATTAACTTTTTATAATCAAAATAACGATTGATATGAGACCATAATATTACGCTTAAATTTTTTATATCGTGCATCGCACGGCTAAAATACTAGTAACATTTTAATACGAGAATCATATATTTCACTAACTCATTCATCTCTTTTTAGCAAAAAAAAACAAATAAAAATAAAAATATAATAATTATTGTTCAGCCATTAGCCAAAAAAGGGACAACACACGATGATGAATTGATGACTATTCGATTCCAGGAATCTACCTAAGCCGGGTCTTCGTCTTAAAAGTCAACTTTGAATTACATTAAATTTTATTTTTCTCCAAATTTAGGGAAAACAAAAGGGAAACAAACAAATTAAAATAATTTTTTGTAAAAAAAATTAAATTGCAAGAAAAACTGAAAATGATTGTATTAGTAATTACTGTTTGAAATTAAAGAATATTAATTATTAATTATATTTTTTTTAGTGTTACTGACTCTATTACAATTTAGTATATGTTCATAAACTACTTTCTCAACCTACTGAAGTATAAAGAGTCAATGCCGCCTCCACAGAGGCTCGAACCCGTTAAAACAATCACAATAGTTTGTCAGAAGTAAAATCAAAAAAAAAAAAAATTGCTAACTTTCTCTAAAATCAAAGAAGTAAAATCAACCCATATGCTGTAGGGTTGGGGTGTGGGGGACTTTAAGATTGTGGTTCAACCTTTTGGAAGAAAGAAGTAAAATCAAAATTGGGTAAAAGAAGGAAAATGGAATTTTGTAAATATTTAATTATTAAATAGCCATACTTAACTGGTTAACTACGTATGATGTAAGAAATGAAACATGAATTTCAAAGAACAATGCTCATTTAATTTGTTCTCTCCCTCATCTCTCTCTCTCTCTATATATACACACAAAATCTGGTATTCATACTTCTCTTTCTTTGTTTCTGTTAAACATCTTTCTCACCTTTCACACCCTATATCCAGTACACCAAATTGGTGCCAAGAAAGAAGCTAAGAAGATTGAAGATTGAAACTAACATCACAGAAATATGAAGTTTTCTTGCCCAGTTTTGAAGTGTTTCGGCTCTGCACCAGAAAGGTAGAGGAGAGAGAAAGCCGACATGGTAAAAACACACTTCAAATTAGAACTCCCTTTTGTTAATTTCTGTCAGGTTTTTTTGAAGCAAATAAGGTTAAAGAAGCTGCGAATGAGGTTTTAATGTCTGGGTATGAAACAGGAGAAGGAAACGGGGAGAGATTTCGGATATTTTCATACGAGGAGCTGAGATCTGCGACTCAAGGTTTCAGATCATCCTGCAAGATTGGGGTGAGGGGATTTGGCATTGTGTACAAGGTGATTGAGACACGGTTTTCATCATTATTGATGGGTTTTGTCTGAAATGCTGCATTGATTTTGTTTCTCCATAGAACACGTACGGATGATGATGAGGTTTTAACTCATTTTTCCGGTTTCGTGTATTTGGTAAGCAAAGTAAAAATTTGAGTCTACGGAAAATAAGGTTTGGTGAAAGAAAAATGAGCTTATTTTTTTGGAAAAATAACTTCGCCCTCTTTTTTTGTGGAGAAGTCATTTTTTGAGTACACTGTGCGACCTTCAGTACCTCAGTCTTCATCTTCAGCACAGCCTTCTTCATCTTCGGCAGGGGCGGAGCCACCTTCTACCAAAAGAAATGTAATTTTGTGTTAGTAATGACACTTAGTATAGTGTAGCATGGGCATTGGTGCCCATTTGGCAGCTTGGCCCCTCCCCAGAAATTAAAAAAAAAAAAAAAGATTTTATTAGTATTATAGTAATAGGTTATTTTGTGCCCCCCACCCCTCCCTCCACACCAAATATTCAATCGTTATGCTGTGGAACTGTGTCCACCTTGTAAAGTGGACACGGTTCTATGTTCATAATTACTGAATTATATGTTCATAATTATAAAATTTTTTGAACTATATATTCATAATTATGAACAGTTTTAGAACCGTGTCCATCTTGCAAGGTGGACACAGTTCCACAGCATAATTTGTCCCAAATATTCTCCCTTCAACTCTCGAAGAAAGCTTTCAGAGCACGCAACAAGTATTATCTTCAATTATAATACTCAAACCATCCAAATTTTAAACCTGCAAACTAGAAACGCAGTACACAACAACATATAATCTTCAATTTTTCACTTGCAAGTCTATAGGTAATTTTTTATTTCTTTTTTATTCTTTGAATTTTTTTATGAATTATTCTTTATTAGAAATGGATTCATCAGTCCTCACAACAACAACCGTTCTGAACTCGGGCTAAATGCCTAAATGGCTAAATCTTCTCTTTCGTTTCCTCAGTTGACGACGGCAACTGCAGTGAACTCGAGAATCGGCCCCCCGCACCAAGAAATCCTGGCTCCACCCCTGATCTTCGGCATGAACTTTTGACACTCAGGTCCGCTGAAAACGAGACGAAAACCATAATGCCAAATTTCTGGCCGCTGAAATCAATGTACCTGGTTTCCATGCAGAAACCAAAGATTTGTTCTAGTTTTTGCGCAAAAAACCAGAGATCTATTCTGGTTTCCACCGAAAATCAATGAAGTTTTCGTTTTGTTTTGTTTTTTTAATATTGCTTGATTTTTTAATATTGTAGTATTATATTTAAAATTGTTTTTGTATTATTATTATTATAAATATTGTTATATTATAAATAAAATATTTAATTATACAATTCTGCTTATTTTTCACAAAATGGACAAAACATATTGATGATTTTGTTGGAACCGGGTGCACCATAAACCGGGTATATAGGTACAGAAATTGGGATGGGGGGTGCTAGGCCCTAAAATAGTACGTATAATGCCCGGGACATTGGCCCAAAGAATACATAAATAATACAAGCTATAGCCCTAATAATAAAATAGGGCACAAGTGACGGCTCGAATAATAAATAATACAAGTTATAACCCTAATAATAAAATAAATAAAAACAATAACGTTACTATTAGGAATTGAACCTTGGCGTGTCAATAAGGAAGAGATGACTTACACCAATAGACCAAAAAAGATTTAGTAGTGAGCTAAGGGCTGTCTTTTAAAGGGATGGAATAATGCCTATTTATATTGTTGAAGTGCTCACGGATGGTTGACAAATGGACGGCATCGGGTAGCCTATACTTTGCTTCCAACGCACTCCCATGCATAAGTAGAACTTCCTATACTTTAAGTCTTTAATATAATCAATCTTGAATAGCTTGGTTGTTTGAAACTTGTGTTGTTATAAATGGGAGGTTGTGGGTTCAATACCCCTTTATATTACTTCTTATAATATTTTGCTCCAAGCTTCCTTATTTTCTTATCCCAATAGATTTCCATTATTCTTATTGGGCTGACACTTCACCATAAAGATGAACACCCCCGCTTGGACAATTGGACCAAGACTTTTCTAATAAAATGGACCTCCAGGTCTCATGTTTCCATCACACATTTTGAATATATATATATATATATATATATATATATATATATATATAGAAAGACTCACTTTACAGAAAACATTTGCCAGAAGTCATTTTTCATGTTCCAAACACAATCTTATTTGTAAATTAAAATAAGCTATAAGCTCTACCAAACCATATTGATCTGTTGCCTTTATTCTGGTATGTCTCCTAGCTTTTTGGCATATCATTCTAACAGTAAGTATGTTATTATCGAAAATATAATATAAGAATAATGAATTGTATTGCTTCAGTATTTCAGTACAGAATATTCAGTGCGTCCTCTGCTAAGCTAGGAGAGCTTTACTTATACTGAGTCCCTAAGGGCATTCTCAATAGTTGGGGATTTTACTCCAGATTTTTGTGAACCCCAACATCCATCTCATCATTCACTATCTCACTCAATCACAAAATCTCTTCTTCCCATTAATTTTAAGCTTTTCACAACTTTTTGTGAACCCACCATTTTATCTCCATATTTTAATTAATTATTTATTTATTTGATTTATAAATTTATAATTTTATAATAAACATAAATGAATGAATATACGTAAATATGGATATAGTGCTATGAATGAACATACGTAAATATGCGTATAACATATCTATAGATATAAATTTAATTTAATTAATAAATATATTAATAAATATAAATTTAATAACAATAATTAACTTTTTAAAAACAAGAATTTTAAAAAGTTAAATTTAAAAAACAAAATTAACAAGAAGTTGGCTGGCCGTTGCATGGTTTTAAAATCTATACTATATATAAAAACAAAATCCTGAAATTTTAACTTCCCGCCCAATTCCTAAAAAATCTCTCTTCCTATAAAATATATTGATTCTACTTTCCATTCGTACAATAATTCTGCGTTAAAATTCTACTCTAATATTATAAATTATTGTAATACAATCTATACTATATATAAAAACAAAATCCTCAAATTTTAACTTCCCGCCCAATTCCTAAAAAATCTTTCTTCCTAATAAAATATATTGATTTCTACTCTCCATTCGTACAATAATTCTGCGTTAAAATTTTATTCTAATATTATAAAATAATGTAATCCAATCTATACTATTTATAAAACCAAAATCCTCAAATTTTAACTTCCCGCCCAATTCCTAAAAAATCTCTCTTCCTAATAAAATATATTGATTTCTACTTTCTCATTCGTACAATAATTCTGCGTTAAAATTTTATTCTAATATTATAAAATAGTGTAATACAATCTATACTATATATAAAAACAAAATCCTCAAATTTTAACTTCCCGCCCAATTCCTAAAAAATCTCTCTTCCTAATAAAATATATTGATTTCTACTTTCTCATTCGTACAATAATTCTG